CTGGTGACAATAACTGAACGCACCTATTCCCTCTAATCTCCTGACGTCTCGAGAGGAGGCTAAGTAGTATCTTTTTGTGAGGAATAACACGATTGTGATGGGGAGGGTGAAAGCGAGGCAAAATGGATTGAAGATGGAAATCAAGATGATAATGGCGATGGTATTCAAGGTAATCTGCAGAAGAAGTTTAAAAAGAAAGAAATCACAACTTAGGAAAAGACGAATTCTTGAAGTTTACCTGTGGTATTTCGTAATACAGTCAATATCATTTGCGAGGGAATTTTTGCCGTCGAACTCAGTACGTCTTGCAATAACGTCGAATGGTCTTTTTCTTTAACTGTTAAGTGACAAATTATTTGAAATTGAACTAAACCCATTGTGTTGATGTTTATTTGCATAGCTTTGCAAAACTATTGCCTTATTACCTGCAGAAAGTCTGTGAACGTTCCTGGCAAAACATCGTCCATAAAGCCGATATCCTTGGCAAAACGATTCAGAATCCGACCTGAAATGTGACAATTTTATCATTCAGTGTCTCCCAGGACAAACTCGTCATCAGTGTAATTTCTACCGGAGACACAAGTAGTAATGATCTCATGTTAATTCACCCATATCCATTGAGCAGACCATGCGGACTGGATAAGGCAAATTACACTCTTCATCGTGTGCGAATCATGTGTCAATAATTGTCCAATGACGATCTTCTAAAACTTCGAGTTTGGCAATGGGAAGGCCCTTGGCCATTGTCTTCCTGCACGCGGCCACTCGATCCCTATTAACGGATTCATGGGAAATCACTAAAAGGCAACCATCACATTGACTTCACAATGCAGACGCTCACAGTCTGACTATACGTTTTACCTCCTGGATTTCTATCAAAGAACTGCATGGGTGCTCTGATTATAGAGGCAAACATTTGGTTGTGAAGAGCCCTGGAGGACGTCACGAACAGATGGAAGAACAGAAGGCTCCGGACAAACAAGACGAGCGTGGATCCTCCACACAGCATGGCGTAAATTCTGGCATAGTGCAGCTTGTCGTGCTTGGTACCATTGTGATTGTCCTGTAGGTAATGCGAAATCTGATGTGGAAACAGATTGAAAATTAAATAAGCAACGACCTCAACAAAGGATGTCCTATTAGAACTTCGCTGACGATTTGCTGACCTGATTCCTGGCCGCTACATCCTCCTCTTCCTCGTCAGTCCACGTGGCCAGCCAGATGTCCGTGAAATTCAGCGCAGCCTGAAAGCAAAGCCAACTGTCTGTTAACTTGTTGAACCGTTGGTCATGGTGCTGTTAGAAATTCTTGACGTCAGGAAGTACAAATGAATTAATGAACAACGCATAATACCCTTCTTGGAGACGAGATATCCTGTACATCCCCCGTATCCCATCCCCAGAATTTACGCCGACTGTTTCTCCGGTTTTTAGTATGAAGACAACTCAGTCAACTGTGGCCAAAGCTTGTGTTTTTTTAAGTGATCCTGTAGAGTTGTGCACCAAGATACCGATAAGCAGCCGGCGTTCTCCTATGTCAGTGGCTTCCGCGTTCAATTCCATCCAGTCTGTGGTGCTCTTACCTGTGCACCGACCACAACGACCATAAGGGTAAGCAGAAAGACGAATCCCGCCTCAGCCCGAAAGAACCGGATGTACACCTTCCAGTTGACGGTACCCACTGCCATCTCTTCCGGAGTGATGTCCACAGGTGTCTCTGCCTACAACAAAATGGCGACAAGCCAGACACGGAGAGCAAGAGGACGTGAGAAGGGACGGCCAACAAAAGAAGGGGGGAGAAACAAATAAAGGGAAATTTACTGAAATGGGAGTGATGCATTACACAAGGGCAGAGATTATAGTTATCAACACATTCTTCTTCGAACTGTTATCAATATATATTCTGGGTGAAAACATGTATATTCCGTATTTCCAAAGATGGATTTGCACCCGGGGATGTTTATTGATTTTAGATTTTTGCCCTGCCCGACGTGTATTAAAAAGCACAGTATACCCCGTGTTTGCCCCGAAGACTTGTGAAAAAACCACAAGGGTACACGGGTGGGACTCAAACTTCGACTTCCTGCTTACTGGTGCAGACATCTTAACCACTCGACCACCGAACTTGCTGGTGTCGGTTGGCTGATTCCAGACAGATGTAGCAGGGGGTACTTCGAGCAACTATTTCCAAGGATGGATTAGCGCCGGGAAGATGTTAATTAACTTTAGATTTATAAAGTATACAGTGTTATAATACACGTCGGGCAGGGCAAAATTATAAAATAATGTATATTTCCATTATGTTATTTGACGCATGGTCACAATTTTTGTGCTTATATAAAAGTAGGACACCAACCTCATCTTGGTCTGGACAAAACAAAGCATTTGAGCATGTTGATGTTTGCTTTTCGCGCGTCTTCGGTTCGAGGACCTGCTCCGTTTCTCCAATGTCGTCACCGTCGTCAGATTTCTTCTTCAGGAGGGCGGCAAAGTCCACGCCTTCCTCCTGCAGCACTTGGTAGGTCCCATAGCCGGCTACACGTCCCTGTCAAAGTATGTCACACCCCAAGGAAAAAGGCAATCAGTCATCACCAGAGAAATTTGGACAGCCCCGATCGGCTCTTGAGGTTAGCAAGTTTCACTGAAATGTCTCTACAAGCAAAATATTCTCCTTGTGCAGTCAATCTCACACAATCAGCATGACTGCATCCGACCTTGTTCAAAATTGGCAAACTCAATCTGATAATGACTGTGCAACAAGAAATTCCAGATTTTAAGTTTTCTACAGCTGTAATTTCGGAATAACCTGTTTCAGGATGAGAATCTTATCAGCCTTGTCCAGGAACTGCAGATGATGAGTTACCAGGATCCGCACCTTGTCCCTCATTTGATGAAAGAGGCACCTTTGAAAAACAAACTCTATCCTTTACACAACAAATACATGCGCTGAGGAACTGGGGGGGGTTGACAGATTCGTCAAACTGCAGTACACATGAGAGCTCAGAAGAAAACTGTTGAACAGCCAAAGCCAATACTTAGCGGTATTAAAAGAAGGTTTCTTTGTCGATGCGTCTGTGCGCTTACAACAAGAATGAGATGTGCAAGTATCCCTGGGGAGAGCAGATTTTGGAACTACTTGCACGCACCGTCAGAAGATGTTTATCCTCAATCGTTAACCCATGTCCGCAGTACATCTAAGCGTGTGAGTACAGGCGAACTCAGCTCTCATTTGATTCACGAGTTGCTTAACTGTAACATAGTAATAACGGTCATAAAATCTAATTTCTTCATTTGAATGAGATTGAAAGGTTTAATGCTGATGAAGCTGATGAAAATCAGTGTTTTAAGACCAAACCACATTCACGCAGGACAGGTAAAAGAGGGTCGTTTTGAGTACGTCAAAATGAAAAGAGTATAGGACGAAAAGAAATACAAATAGCCGACTTTTCAAAAAGGTGCCTCCCGACTGCTGGATCCACTGCACTCAGGGGATCATCTAGCAGATACACATCGGCTTCACTGTACATGGCTCGAGCCAGGCTGACCCTTGCCCTCTGACCTCCGCTAAGGGTCACCCCACGCTCGCCGACCAGCGTCTGATCTCCATGTGGTAGCAGGTCAATATCCTGTGGATGCAAGATTAATTTTTGTATCCAATGTCTTCAAGCTACATCTGTGAAACTTTGTGTCAATTTTCCCTTTTCACATACCAATTTCCAAATTTAGAGATGCATTAACCGGGTTTGAACTGTGTTTAAATATAAGTTTCATTTAAATACGAATAAGCAATTTGGGTGAAGGGCGAGCAGCTGCGGCTTCGTTAATTCAGTCTCTTGGGTTTGCGACCAATTTACTCAGTGGAGCTTCCTGATTAGCTTTAAAAAAGGTAAAATGTTTTCATTTGACCGTTTTACGGTTTAGTTAATCAAACAATGGATTTGGGGGCAGAGATAAGGCCATTGCTATAGATGATACCTGGATTTTCAAAAATGGCCTCTGTCTCCTAGGACTTACCCTGGTGAGTGCACATTGCTTGATGACTCGCTGGTACTTTGGCGACTCGTACACACTCCCAAAGAGGATGTTGTCCCTGAGTGAGCCAGACAGGATCCAGGGTTGCTGAGCCGTGTAGCCAACCCGACCGGTCACGGCGTTCACTCCTGATACGGACGGAAGCTCTCCCAGCAGGGCCATCAACAGGGAAGACTAGCGCGAGAAAATAAAAAAAGCATATGTAGAGAAACTTAAAAAATTTCATAATACCTTTCAGGATCAGTTTGAATGTATACTGTCTGTATATACCAACTCTTACATGTCTTGGTATCTACATCATCCATCGTACATCCTATGCTGGTGCTGTATAGACACCAAGGGTGTTGGTGCAGTAAAGCTAGCAATGAGCCCAGTTTCCTAAGCACAAGTGTTCAATATACATGTAGATACAGTGGCTGGCATACGTCCGTTATCCTTGTGCGGTATACAAGTAGATTTCAAAGGTCACCGTGGTGAAACCTGGTGTTCTAAACTTTTTCTGATGTACAGAGAGTCTTTTGCTTCACAGGTCCTAATAAACACTAAGGATATTATAGGTCAACCGATTCCTAGTTTTTGTCCCAGGTTAAGGTGTTCAAATGATTCTTATGTTTGACTGTATCAATACAAGGATGTTACAGACCCTTCGGGTCTATTTGTCTGCTACCTAAATTATCCAAGAGTGGTGTTGAATTAACACCACGCTTTTGGCGTTAAAAGAATAAGTGTTTATGACTCACCTTTCCACATCCAACAGGACCGATCACCGCGAGAAGCTCTCCTGGCTCAACCCGAAAACTGATGTCATGGAGCACGGTGTTGCTGACATCCTTGTTTCAACAACGTATTCAAAATAGGATAAAATATCTACATGAAAAGGCACTTTCATTGTGAATTACTGTGTGATCAAAGCGTTAAAATTAATGTGTGAGTCTGAAAGTTAACAGATTGATGCTAAACCAATGGAATGTTGAGCAAACTGCGTGCTTGAGCAAAGCAAATCAAGGATACATCTTGGACAATGTTGCTAAACCAGCAGCGCGGGTCCTGGTTTGTGTTTCTGTGGTGCCATTATAATCCAATTCTTCTCTTCAACCTGGAGTCATTGAATATGAGTTGGATATAGCAAGGAGGGGCCTTTCAATTTTCATTCGCAAAGGCTTCACGGGTAGAATGGGTTAGATACAGTGGAAATGGGTATACCTTGTTCCAGGATCCATACACATTTTTCACAACAATTCCTTTCCCATTTGCTCCATCAAGGGAAGGTAAAGGCTTGTCAAGATCGTCATCTTCCTCGATCTCAGCAGGACCAACATAACCTCCAACCTCCTCATCTCCCTCGGATTGGATCAGATAGTTCGTGCTGTTTGTTCGGGCTTCCTTTTCCAGGCGTTGTGAGGGGTCCGTCCTTTCTTCCGCGGGGCTCCCATCATTAGCTTCCCTCGGAGCAACAACGCCATTTGCAGTTATCTCGTCCAACAGAATCGCAGGCTTTACCACTCCAACATTGTAATTAACATCAGTATTTGGTCTATTTGGGTGTGTCTCAAGCTCTTCCATAAGCAGAAATTTCTGGTATTAAAGGTTGAAAGTAGCATAAGCTAGACATTGCAAGATCCATACACTTAATTGTGCGTTGCGTAAATCTGGGTGTGATCTAATGTTCATAATTTGACAAAGAAAAGCACATTTTAAGCCCATTATATTTAGTGTGGTTTTGGGTTGTGAGTTATGGCCATTGACCTCATCCCTTGATTTCCAATCTTTGTCCTCACCTGAATCCTACGGATAGAGACGAGTCCCTCCGCCCCGTTCATCAAGGCGAACGGGAAGAATACGCATAGGCAGATTCGAGCGCTGTAGTACAACGATAGCACTGGGAACACCTTGGAGGCCGTGACAGGATTGCCAAGCGAGGCGTAGACCAAGAACGTGGCCATTGTTGTCAGTAAGGTACCGTTGAACAACAGGGAAAAGATTAGCGCGCGTAAGTAAGAGCTGTGCAGTATCTTGCGTATCTCCTTGCTGCAGACCAAAACAGCAAAAAGAATCGGACATTTCTCCATCTTACAATGTCTATGCATGTAAAGAAGAGACTGAGAGAAAACTATAGAAAACTTGCAGTTACAAAATGGACAGACATCTGTTAAGAAGATAATTTAAGAAGAATTAATTTTTCAGTTTTCAGCATCTTGATGAAATCAAAAGGTCATCTTCGGGAAATTTCCTTCTCAGCTACTTGCAAGGGAGCATTCCTGTTGCTTCCATTCCATTTGGACTTGAGTTTAGCTTTTCCATTTGGAAACTTATTACCCTCTTTTGAATAGTGCCTGCGACTGAATTGAGAAACAATTCACGGGATGAAAATGTAATTGCTGCTTTATAACAGCTTTGGTTGGAGGATCAACCTACCCTCGGCTTTCGGTAACTAGTTTTCCAAAGGATTGCTCCCAAGCGTAGATCTTGATGACACGCATCCCCGAGATCACTTCATTCATGATGCGTAGTCTTGCATCCGACAACAAGGCCGTCTTAGATCTGAAAGATACGGCAAGAGTTGGATTTTTATATTTTGAAAAAGGGAGAAAGCATGGGTGGTTTTATAAAGAAGTAAAGGAAAGCACATCTACTGAATAGAAACACAGACTTCTGCTCTTTCACCTCAACTTGGAAAATAGTTTCCCCGTGTAAACTTGAAGGGGTGCCATCAATATCATGCTGGAGATCCCTGCCACGCATGAAACTCCGATCTCTCGCCAGCACAAGACAAACACCATAATTAGCTGGAATGGTGCTATCCAAACGTAATGTATGAACTTGAAGGCCTGCAAAACAGATTTTTCAGAGATTCACAGAATACCTTCAAGAATGATAATATGGCAACGTAAAAAGAAGATCCATGCCACGTTTGCAGTTTTTAGTTCAGAGGGAAAAATTAATTTTATTTTAATAAATCACTGGTTCAGATACAAAACGTGTATCAAGCACTTACAATCCTGTCCCACAAGAAATTCTTGTCCATCAGTAATTAGTTGATTTTTAAGAAACTTCTATTTTAGAGACCATACATTTGCATTTTTGTGATCCCACCTGAAAATATGCACTAATTTTAATCGTAAACAATCTTGATGCTCACCGTAACTTTCAGTGGTCGGTTTACTGAAAAGTGTAGTTGACAATTCTATTCGTCGATACCTCAGGCTGGACTGGAGCCCACGACAATCTGTTTGCTAGAGCTGCTGTATTAACCATTCGACCGCTGAACTGGTTGGGGTCGGCCATCCGACCGGCTGGGCAGTAGGAGCAATTAAAGAAATATTTCTCACACTTACCGGATCGAATCTGTTGACGTCATTGGAGAGGATGTTCACTAGCTGACCGATTGTGGTCTCACCGAGAGCAAGGTTGCTGAGCTTCAGTGCCTTCAACAGTGAATGTTATACAGTTAGAGTGCTGCCAGTATTCACAAAATAAAAATCGAAATGTCTGTTGTCTATTGATTTCAAGTCATGCCTTTTTTGTGCTGATACGTAATATTCTGGTAAACCCCAGTGGACTGCAGGAGATGCCAACTTGAGCTCAGAAAAAAAGACCCCGTTACCTTTCTGAAGACGAGGGCTGAGCAGGCAGTTCTGAGCCTCATCCCCGTCAGGCCGAAGCCGAAGAAGCAAAAGTGGTGGGAGACTACGAGACCTAAGGAGGACAAGGAGAGACCGGCGGCCTGCAGGTAGGCCTCTTTAGTTGACACGAGGTCCGTGGAGAAATACAAAACTAGTCGTGCCAACATCAGCGGCTGGGCCATCTTCAAGAAAACCTCCTACCAACCATGTCCATGACAGGAATAACAACCTTATCAGACGATGCAAAAGTGGGAGCCATTCGAATTTTCTTCGAGTCAAATTCAGAGCAAATAAAAGCGAATATCGGACAAAGCCTTAAATTCCCTCAGACGTTCATTTTCAGCAATACATTCAACAGTTCTTTTAAAAGTGACACTATATCCATACAGTTACCTTCGTCTAGCAATTTAGAACGACGTTTTCGTTTCTTTGTGGTTCCTTTTTTCTTCACGCTCTAACATATGAATATATTTCCACCGTTCAATTAAAGGAAAGCCTCTTTTATAGAGCAAGCAGAAATACTTTTAAAGATCAGGCCAATAGTTACCTCAAAGAAAGCGGCCAAGCCGTAGCACATGAACTTCAGACCAAAGGCTCTGAGCAACGCCCATCGGAGGGACGGAGGCTTCCCTGTATCCTTACTTTTCTCCAATTCTTTATTCCATTCGCTGGCAAATAAATAAATAAATAAACAAACTGCTACTATCTTGTCTGCACAGGCATGCAATGTAGTATCTGGCACAACCACAGAAAAAAGCTTCACAGTGAAAACCGTATTTTGTTGGGGAATAATACTCTTTTGGTGGCATGAGTGTAAGGAATGCAGGTATCCGGCTCGAGAAAGACCATTAGGGGATGCATTGGCAGACCTGTGTATATATAGAGAGAGTAGCACCAACTTAAGATTTTGGAACCAAAATGGCTGTCCATTATGTGTGCGGTGCAGCATACGGCTCTTGTATACTAATTTTCCATGTGCACCACGGTTAATCCACCATTTTGATTGCAACGATCGAGACAATCGTTTTGCAACTCTCTGGCTCCGATAGTATAGGAGCTGCAATTCGCTAGTTCATGAACGGCTACGAAATGCATGCGTTGTGATCGCGTCGCTACCAACAAAAACGATCACCCCGTGGCTCCTTTTGAACAGATGAAGGGGTGTTTTGCCCGAGGCTGATACAGACACCTAATTTGAGGTGTGTGATGACCAATCCTGTTCAAACAAAGATTAGTCCATAACTAGCTCATATGATATACGTACTTGTTTAAATTAAATTTATTCTGAATTAAACTAACTTTAAACTGTACAGAGTTCGTGTTAAATATGCAAACAACGAAATGCAAATGAAAAATATTAATAAATAAATATGAAAACAATTCCAAAATGAACAACAGTATTTTACTCAAAGATAGCAGTGAAAATCAACACATTTCCTATCTTTTGTGTCCACGGAAGCAACGAATGCTTTTACAAAAGTTTGTCAAATTATTTTAAATCAATGTTGTTGTTGTTGCTTACCTTTCGAGTTTACTCACTAACATACCCGCGGAGTCTTCGGGCAAAACATCATACAAATCTTCTTCCATAAGAGGTCTCCTATACCCTTGACGGAAGAAGCCGAACATCCAGCTGCAAACCGGGAAAAGAAAATCTTTAAGAAAAAATTACCTAAAAGCATGGAAGTAAACAAAGGGTCATATCTGTATACTCAGTTTTTAAAGGACTATTCCAGCAAGATTAGGGTGCAGATAGAACCTAACCAGGAAGACACGAATGATTGAAGATTATGGATTTTGAAAACATTATTGCAGGTTTTAAAAATATTTAGTAGAACTTTTGGAGAATAACATATACCTTTGCAAGTATTACTTTAAGCGTAATTTGCTTATTTCACGCTATCACACTATGAATTGAAGGCATTTACTAGTTTACTGAGAAGAAAGATGTTGGTGGACAAGACGGAAAAGGACAAATAAGAGCTGAGTGTCTCGACTATTACGTGAAGACTATTGCGGTAGGTATGCTTTATAAGATCAACGCTGAGTTCAGTGGTATCCAAGGTGATATTCGTTTTTTGTAGTTTAATAATCCATATTATGGTTTACACGATTGTTTATTTAAGCTTTAATCAGTCTCTGAAGATGTAAGGATAATAGCAGTTGCTCTCGCCAAGGCAAAGCTTTACTTCATTTGTATAGCCATTCAGCCAAGGAGATAGAACATTAGTTCGAGGTTTGCCCTACCTTAAGACATCCAATATCTTGCAGACAGGTATCGATCGGGATTAATTCCCTAACAATCACGAGCAATAAATACAGCAAGGCCGTTAACACTGGCTCATTCTTCCCCAATCCATTTTCCGAGGATTATCCGCCCCCGAATCACTAGGCCTACTTGCAGGCCGCTGTTTCGCCGTTGCTTGGAATACATTGATACACATCTCGGTTTAATTGGTAAGCGATAGGCCCAGCGGTTGCGCCATTTGAGGACAAAAATGACCACCACCCAAGAATGAAGTGTTACTGAATGGTATTATCGGACTCCCAACTCCACTTTCGATGTCGCTCTCCAGTGGGCCTATATTGCTCGTTAAGAAGTCTTCGTTTCACGGAAAGTAAAGTCGATTTATTATGTCAACCATGGGCACGCATTATTCTGTTCTATGGGATGACATAAGACATCGATAGCAATTTGTTTATCTGGGATTATTCAAGATGCCGAAATCCACCAAAAGAGAATATTCTGGGTAGACTAAGGTGTCGTGCCAGTAACTACAGCGTTGAGACCTATACACCCCTTAAATAGACTCTTAAACAAAGTCTACTCTCTGTAGGTACATGAGTGAGATACCGCACTCCCCAAGACAGTGGGCCTCTTATAAATCTACTCGAAAAGTGGAAACCACTGAGAAAAAGGAGCCAAATAAAAGACAACTCTCTTTCAAATGGTCTTTTGTAATTATATATAGCTCCAAATTTCACTTTTTGTAGAGGGTTTTACTCTTCTCAGAGTGGTTTTTAACCCTCCTTTTCGAGTGGTTTCCACTCCTCGGAGTGGTTTTATAGAGGATGCACCCGTTTTGAAAGTGAGGTTTCACTTTTTTGTCTTGTAAGGTAACGTCACTTCCAGCAAGAAGATGCAGATGCCTGAAGAAACACTTAGCCCTTTTGAGGCCGAAACAGGTTCAGCAATATGTTGGAATTTCATTGGGGGAATTATTTGGGGGGGTTGGGTGGGTTTTTTGGTGCTAAAAGGGTAGAAACCATTGTAATTCTGTTCATCCCAAACTCGGCAGGTATCAGAATCGAAATTTGCATTGCAATTTATCATTTTTGTACTATTTTTCCCTTCAGTTTAACACTTCATTAAATAGTACGAATAGGGAGATAAAGGCGATACCTTCCTAACCGAAGAAAATGGGAAATGGGATGAATGTCACAAGTGGAGTTTAAAACTAAAAGTCCGATTATTTTCCACACGTTTAAAATCTTTCATATATGCTAAATGTCAAACTGTACTGAACATTTTACCTAGTGTATTAGATATTCATTCTCATCCATACAACATGTCAAACTAAAAAAAATCTTAACCAATACGAACTCCACCGTATCATAATTTCAATTCATGTTCAAGTCACCTTTCCATACTTCTTAAGAAAAAGACCAGTGTGTGCCAGAGAGTCCCCATTTGCAACTCAAGCTCATAGCAGTTCCCAGGAGACATGGAAATTTTTGCAGTGCAAGAAAACATAGTGACTTCTGAAGTTAAAATAGAAAGATGGGGTCCCTTTGTCAAACAACCGGTCCACCATTCTACTTCGAAGGCGCAGTTTGATTAGAGATTTGATTTTTATTAATTCAGTTTACTGCCTGCATAATGGAATATAATGGTCTCTGTAATTGTACAGTGAAGCCCCCCTTGACTTGTGATTTCAAGGACGTCTTATAATATGTTGTGGCCTATTAGCTGGAGGCCAAATACTTGCCGCCGCTGATTTCCTTTGGCTGTGGGATACTTGCAAATGAGGAATTCCGATTTATTGGCCAATAGAAACACTGCTCTCGTAGCTATTCGGTATGGGCGGCACATATCAACTTCAGCCCAGCTTGCAACACAATAAAACACCGTTTTCAACCCACCAATTACCCTAATCAGCTTTATAAGTATGTTGAATGAGCGTACGGAAAGTGCGTGCTTTCATTTTGGGGGCTTCAGGAAACAAGCTGCCACCAACTTAAGTAAAATGGTCTTTACAAATTACCATTTCTTTCAAGATATTATTTCAGTTGCAAAAAAACCCGCTATGCTATGACACCATTTGTCCTGGGACCATACGTTCCAGCTAGCTGATGTATGAGGCATAAATTGTTCATTCTAAATTTAAGATTTAGAATTTTTTGAAAAAAATAATTCCAAAGTAATATTAACTGTAAATTAATTTATTACTTCATGTCGTTCTATGTCTTGTTTCATCTGTATCAATACTGTACAAGTACCCCCTTTTTTCTCCAGAGGGGAATGGCACTTCAATAATGGAAACATTGAAGGCTATATTCAAATCTGAATCACTAATACTGAACACCTGTTTTCAGTCTTGTTCTCCATGCGGCTTTGACTGGGGTACAAGTTCCCAAATTTGTCTGATAAGCTTGCCGAGTTAAATTTCTGAGGGCAAGCTCACCGAAGTTCGTTTGGCACACTCGCCAGGTGGGCGCAGGGCATTTTCAGGTTTTTGAAGCTTTATGTGCAAGTCGTTGAAAGGGGACAAACATGCCCACTGCTAGGCTGGTGAATTAAAAAAATTCACACAATGCTGACTTTATCAATGCCTAGGTTTAATGGACCATTGACAGAGTAGTTGATCTAGACAGCTTTTCCTGGAAACCCACTGTCAAAGCTGTTCACTTTGAGGTGTCTGAGAAAACCAGTTTGTTGTCGCTATTTTCAACATCCCTTCCAAGTCGAACAATGCAGGTTCTTGTATTTCGCGTTCTAGCATGTTCGAAATATCGCCACTCATTTGGAAACTTCCTGTCATGTGAACTCACTTCATAATCAAATGCACAATGTTATGAGAGCAGAATAAGAAGCTTCAACGTTGATCCCCACTATGAACCGGAAATTTTCGAGGAACTTACATGAAAAATGCTTGGGAGAAGATTCCTGCCCCTAGGAGTGGATGTGGCTGTCTTTTGCTCTGGTGTGAAACCTTGGAAGGCTCAGTGATCTCGGACGCTGGAGCGCGATGACACTTACTGTCGCTGGCTGAAGAAGTCCTGCT